TGATCCTGCCACATGTATTGATTGTTTAATCAATACATCATACATATGATTATTAAGTCATATTCTGATTGTAACATACCTCTCTCTCTTAAAGGGACACTATAGTCACCAGAACAACTACAGCTTATTGAATTTGTTCTGGTATGTAGAATCATTACCTTCAGGCTTTTTGCTGTAAACACTGTCTTTTCAGAAAAAAAGGAAGTGTTTACATTACAGCCTAGTGATAACTTCGCTGGCCACTCCTCAGATAGCTGTTAGAGATCCTTCCTGGGTCATGGCTGACTAAAATGCATCCAAACATTCAGTATCTTCTCCCTCTGCATGCAGACACTGAACTTTCCTCATAGAGATTCATTGATGCTGATTGAGATGCTGATTGGCCAGGGCTGTTTTTGAATCATGCTGGCTCTGCCCCTGATCTGCCTCTTTGTCAGTCTCAGCCAATCCTATGGGGAAGCACTGTGATTGGATCAGGCTACACTTCTGATGATGTCAGCAGACTGCTTGTTTTTTTTAGGCAAACAGCATGCAGATCTACAGCTTCTGGCTTGAATACAGTAAGATATTGCTATATTTATGGAGGCATGAGGGGCCCATGGGGGCTAGATGGTGGTTTTAGCACTATAGGGTCAGGAATACATGTTTGTGTTCCTAAACCCTATAGTGTTACTTTAACTCACTTGTAAAAAATAATAAGAAATTCAAATTACTTTAAGCTCCACCCAAGAGCCGCTGGAAAATTTTCTTAAACTAATAAGATTCACATTGTTAAGCATACAATCTCACGAACGTGACTTTCCACAATGGCTGTCAGATCTTGGTAAAAAAAAAATTAAGACAATTTTGGGGTGTTTCTGGTATTGTAAGCCACTAATAACTGTAGTTATTATATTTACTAATTGTAACTTGGGGAATAAGTTGTCTTCTCCATAACAGGACAAAGAAAGATGAATAAATGTCATGTTTCCAATTATCAACTATTATAAATAGATTGAGAGATTTTGAATAAAAGAGTGTTTTTAACATTTAAAAAGAATGTACTTTTACATATGATTGTGAACAAAGGTGGTAAATACTTTGCTGCTTTGAATTATCCTTATATATCTAAATCATATACAAGGGTATTTATCTTTAAAACAAAACACTATAAAGATTAACTATGTTACTATTTCATTTATCATTATTTTACAAAGTATAACAAATGTAAAGGTTCTTCCACAGATTTTACCTGTTAACATTTTTAGCACAACAGCACCTGATGTCGTGAGATGTAGAGGTGTTACCAAGATTCCAAAACAGCAAAAAGAGGTGTTCTTGAGATACCACTTCGGTTGCTGTATCAACATAACGTGCACTATAATGGGATCCATGTCACTTAAGACAATGTCTTGGAAATGCTATCAATTAATTTATTCTGAAAAAGCATATCAGAGAGTATCCAATCTATACACATCAAAAACTGTGTAAAAATAATTCAAGGGAAAAAAAACCCAAAAAAACCCAAAAAAACAAACAAGCAAAGAGACAAGACAAAGACAAATACCAACACTATCACCACAGTGATAACAGATGATGCTGATAGAATATCTGAAACCAATTCTAGCCAAATATTTGGATAGCTGGACTCGACAACCAATACTCTACAACAAATTCCCGGGTATTCTACAAACACAACCTCCAGCAATGTATCTAAGGAATGTAAACTTCTACCTTTAAAGACTTTTGATTACAAATACAACTAGAAAAGCTACAATTTCTGGGGAAATTGTGTGAAGTGTTCTTGCCTCCACCAGTAGTCTACAACTAGAGTGGGCGGAGTAACTGTTATTATTTATTTATATAGCACATTTAATTGCAACGTTGTTACCCAAAATGCTTCACAGTTACATTAAAACATATATTTATAAAAACATTAGCAGGTGTACAAAATGTCCTGTCTGTGACATGTCTTGCTGCTCCAGCCTGGCACAGGTCAGAGTATTGTGGCGGGTGCCATCTTCAAACGGTCGTATACATCCTACAGCCAAGAGCTTTATATTGTGAGAATCACAAAACCCAGACCTACATTTTGATGCATAGTATGTCTCTGAAGTATTAAAAATGAAGGCACAGTCGCAGTTTAGAAATTGCCCTTCAAATTTAAGCTTGCTGGAGTGGAGTTTCAATGAATGTCAAAGGATGGCGTGAGTTGCAAACAAATGGTCATATCGTGCAAACTATCAGGACTATGGCTTAGCCGTGGACATTTTTAGTGGCAGCAGGGATAGCTGAAAGTTTTGATATAAGATTTGTGTAGGTGGGCTTGAAAATGAGGGAGTGGTGGCAGTTTAGAAATCATGTCCGATTTTTCAGCTTTTGCCAGCTCCCACTCTAGTTTTGAGCATTTTGCCATTCATTCCTATGGGACCACTTTTGCCACAAGAACAACGATATTCCGTGAACTATTCGGCGAAATGTTCCACAAAGTAATAGCAATCCGATCAGGAACAATCTGCACTTTTCTGTATATTACTGTCTATGTAGTGTAAAAACTGTGGGAGAAGTTAGGGTCGTAAATTTGGCTATAATAAGAATAATATATATGTGAGATAACCTGAAGTGGTCTTGCTATGCAAGAACACTTAATTACTATTTTGAACTTTGGATTACAATTCCTATCAGGATCCATCCAAAACTATCTTATTTTGGAACCTGAAGTTCTTTTTATTTTTTCCCAGACAAAAGCTTTGCTCATTTTAATCAACCACCTTTACATGCAAAGATCACACTACGGATGTTTTGCCGTTATGACAATAATCAAAGATGTTGGCAGCATAAAAACCTAAAGACTGTTGGAGAACTTTAGGTTACTAATTTAAGGAAGAAATGCTCTACAATGCCCACAGTTCCGGTAGTGCTGGAGTTATGGACAAATGCAAATACTGTATTTCTCAAACTATGTACTTTGTCTTTAAGAGATATTGCAAACTGACAAGGTGTTAGAAATGGAACATATTGTTTTTCATAACTGTTTCTTTAAGCAATAACCTCTTACTTACCTTCAGTGCATAATATGTTTACGCAATTTTGTCCCAGATGAAATACCATAACAATAATGCATAAACAAGCTTCAAGGCTATGCTATGACTCTTTCAGTGCATAATAAACTGTGGTAACCCTAAATAGATAAAGATGTTCAGACTTTAAGATGCCATCTTGTCCTTAGTCAGTGTGCACTCTTACGTTTTAGTTATGGCCTTGTATTTTTGCCAAGTTAAGGGAGGTCCTAAAATGAGTAAACTAAAAGAAGTATTTCTTTTTCATATATGAACTACGGTAACCCTAAAATGAAGACACCTTCATGTGTAGACTAATAAAGGTGCATCACTCCTAAAAATAGGAGAGAAAACAACCTCATAAAGAATACCTTTTGTGATGATACAATATAAATAATAAACTTTATTGAAAAACTAGAGAAAAGACACATACAAAATAAAGAAATAATGTTTATCAAAACGTTATTAGAATTGAGCGGACACCTGAATGTTTGGGTCCGGCGGGTTCGGCCGAACTTTGAAAAAAAGTCCGGGTTCGGGATCGAACTTGACCCCGAGCCCCATTGAAGTCAATAGGGACACTAAAATGCCTCTAAAGAAGTCCTGGAAAGGGCTAGAGGGCTGCAAAAGGAAGTAAAATGGGGGTAAGAGTAGGACAACTGTGGAGGAGGAGGAGGTAGTCAACACTGTTTTTCTATATATATATATATATATATATATATTTTTTTTTTTTTTATTTTAATTGTATTTTTTTAATTGGGGTAGCCCCCAAAATATTGGGACATATAAAAAAATAAAACTCTGTTCCGCAGAGCGACTGACCCGTGTGTGCTGCATCTGAAACTCCACTATCGTCTGCTACTGCTTGCATAGTCTCATGAGGCAGTGAGCGGAAAGCCGAAGTTACGCTGCAGCACAGACAGGCGAGCAGCAGCAGGGTGAGAACGCCGAAAGCGCGCCCAGACGGCCCGCACTTTCTGCAGCAGCTCTGATATATCTGGGTATACACCGTGGCGGTGTAGGTGGAAGCAGCGGTGCAGGAGGAGGTGGCAACAGGAGGCAAAGCTGTATACCCAAATAAAGATTGTCAAACGTTGTATCCTGGAACTGTGTCCCATCTGGTTACTGGGGAAATGGGTCTGACCTATTCTAATCAAAGGGGATATCCATCGGTTAGCCAGGTCCCGCTTCAATTGGTGGCAAGCGGCGGGATCCCATGTCCTTGCCAACAGACCGATGGACTACAGCGCTCTAAAGCGACCTACACTGCAGGACTTGTGTGGAGCCAGAGGAATGACGCCTGGTGGGCGTAACAAGGCCAAATTGGCTGCTGCGCTCATGGAGGACGACCAGGCACACAGTGAGGCAAAAAACCCCAGCCAGGGGCTGGAGATGAGGAGGAAGTGCACAAGGAGGTGGAACGGCACCTGGCATATGACTGAGAGCCACCCTCAGAGGAGATTGTCAGCAGGACCTTTTTGGAGGTGCAAGCCTATGTCCTTGCCAATAGACACAGGGTGACCTCCATGAAATTAGATGAAGGAAGAAGGGAGCAGAGGGCGCCGGATAGAAAAACCACCCTGGCCCACAAGCTAACATACAATGCCTTCCAAGACTTCAAGGAAGCAGAAGAAGACATTGATGACTTTTTACAAGACTTTGAGCGCCAGTGCCTACTCCAAGACATTGACCCCAGCAACTGGGTCACCATCCTGGCCTGCAAACTAGTGGGGAAGGCAGCGGATATTTACCGGGCTGTACCAGAAGAGCAGATCAGAGACTATCCCTTTATTACCCAAATCCTCCTGGCCCGGTATGCGATCACCCCCGACCAATACCGCCGAAAGTTTAGGGAGACCCGGAAAGGGGAGAAGGACTCCCATGCAGAGTGGGCATTCCACATCACAAGGGCCACCCAGAACTGGCTCAACTCCCATCAAGCCAAGTTCCCGGAGGTGATCACCCAGCTCGTCACGCTAGAGCACTTTTTCAATGTGCTGCCCAACGACAAGGTGACAACGCATTTGTATGTCAACCATATCAACTTTCGATGCCATTTACTGCGCCTTCCATGGTGACCACGGGTAATGGGGAATCAGGGTTCAATTCCTGAGAGGGAGCCTGAGAAATGGCTACCACATGCAAGGAAGGTAGCAGGCGCGCAAATGACCCACTCCCGATGCGGGGAGGTAGTGATGACAAATAACAATACAGGACTCTTTAGAGGCCCTGTAATTGTAATGCGTCCATTTGAAATCCTTTAACTCTGATCAATTGGAGGGCAAGTCTGGTGCAGAGCGGCTGACCCGTGCGTGCTGCAGCTGAAACTCCACTATTGCCTGCTGCTGCTCACACAGTCTCTCCAGCATGTGCAAGGTGGAGTTCCACCTTGTGGGCACGTTGCATATGAGGCGGTGAGCGGGAAGGCCAAAGTTACGAGCAGCAGCAGGGTGAGAACGCCGAAAGCGCGCACAGTGAATGTCAAGAACTGTTCCAAGTTGCAGATCAGACTGGTGATGGCTTCTGGTATCCAGTACTATTTTTACTGAAGCTGCATCAGGGTCCTGGTATGTGGCCACACAAACGCTGGTGCTCAACACCAGGGGGCGTGGGGTTACCCTGCACCAGACCCTGCACCAGACCCTGCACCAGACCCTGCACCAGACCCTGCTAATCCATTCCACACTGTGACTCCTAACTTCAACATCAGGCATACTGGGTCCCCGTTGTCCGACCGCCACCCAGACAGTGTCTGGGTCCCGGTCACTGGACTGCGAAACTGTGAGTGGCTCGTTAAATCTGTTATGGTTCCTTTTATTGCTCCATCTGTTACTTGGATAACTGTGGAAATTCTAAAGATAATACATGCCGACGAGCGCTAGGGGACGGCCGCTCCGCTTTTGCACCCTGCTCCTTCTTATGCTGTGCTGGTGCCTCTGTGCGACCAGCGCCTCTTCTTCCAAACTGCACACATCACTCGCATGACCTTGATTCCATGTGGGGTCTAGGACCTCATCATCCTCCACATCATCTTCCTCCACACTGCCCTCATTGCCGGTCTGCACACTGCAGAAAGCCACAGCAGTTGGCACCTGTGTTTTTCCAGCATGTAAAGTCTGCAAAGGACATATGGAAATTGTTTTAGAATTGTATCCAGGCAACAATTTTCCCTATAAACTGACCTCTCAGTTTGACTTGTGAGGGTATTGCCCCTGAATTACAATATTGTTATATTGGTATTTGACACTTCTATTTGACTCTCATATGAAGAGCATGCCCAAAATGTACTATTTAGCAGTTTAGCAGCAAAACAATTGGAATGTTTACAACCGCGCTGTAAGAGCACTATTTGATGCTTCGATTTGACTCTCAGATATGAAGAGCAGGCCCCAAAATGTACTAATAAACAGATTAGCAGTAAAACAATTAGAATGTTTACAACTGCACTGTAAGCGCACTATTTGATGCCTCTATTTGACTCTCAGATATGAAAAGCATGCCCAAAGTTTACTATTTAGCAGATTAGCACCCAGAAAATAAGAATTTTTACAACTGCGCTGTAAGTGCACTATTTGACGCTTCAATTTGACTCTCAGATATGAAGAGCAGGCCCCAAAATGTATTATTTAGCAGATTAGCAGCAAAACATGAGCGGTGGGTGGGGGCCCTAATTAAAAAATTGAGGGGGGGGCCTAATGTCCTCCCCCCAGGCCCCTACCCCTGAGCGGTGGGTGGGGGCCCTAAATAGCAATTGGGGGGGCCTAATGTCCTCCCCCCTGGCCCCCACCCCTGAGCAGTGGGTGGGGGCCCTAAATAAAAATTGGGGGGACCTAGGTTTCACCCCCTTATTGGTATTTAGGGCCCCCACCCACTGCTCAGGGGTGGGGGCCCTAAATACCAATAGCAATAAGGGGGTGGAACCTATTGTCCTGCCCCTGGCCCCCACCGCTGAGCGGCGGGTGAGGGCCCTAAATAAAAAATGAACCCCCCCCACAGGTGACTAGGGGTCCCCAAACCCGTAGTCACCCCCTCCCCAAAACAATTAACCCCTACCTACCCCCTCATCCTAAAAATAATGAGGGGGGACCATTAGCTAAGTACTTGTAAAACAAATAAATAAAATAAAACTTACCATTTGATGCTTTCTTTTTAAAATCTTATTTTTTCAGCCCCAAAAAATGCCAAATAAAAATCCATAATAACCAACGCACTTTAAAAAAAAAAAAAAAACAGCGCAAAAATAATAATCCATCTTCACCCATGGAGGGCTCTGCGCAGACTTGCCCCGCCCTGCAATTAGGCTCAGAGCACTCTGATTGGTGGGTTTAAGCCATCCAATCAGAGTGCTCTGACAGGTAAAGTCTCTACATTTACCTGTCACAGCACTCTGATTGATTGACTTGAAAACCACCAGAGTGCTCTGTGTCATTTTACACAGCGTGGGAAAATTCTTTGGAATTTTCCCACGCTCTGTAATTTGACTCATAACACTCTGATTGGTGGATTAAGTAACCAATCAGAGTGTTATGAGTCAAATTACACAGCGTGGGAAAATTCCAAAGAACTTTCCCATGCTGTGTAAAATGGCACAGAGCACTCTGATTGGTGGATTTCAAGCCAACCAATCAGAGTGCTGAGGCAGGTAAATGTAGAGACTTACCTGTCAGTCTCTTCATTTACCTGTCAGAGCACTCTGATTGGATGGCTTCCTTAAACCCACCAATCAGAGTTCTCTGAGCCTAATTGCAGGGCGGGGCGGGGCAAGGCTATATAAGTCCTTCCCCTGCCCTGCAGAGTTCAGTCTGCGTGGAGCCCTCCATGGGTAAAGATGGATTATTATTTTTTGCGCTAGTTTTTTATGGATTTTTATTTGGCCTTTTTTGGGGATGAAAAAATAAGATTTTAGAAGAAAGAAAACATCAAATGGTAAGTTTTATTTTTTTAATTTTTTACAGGTACTTAGCTAATGGTACCCCCTCATTATTTTTAGGGTGAAGGGGGTAGGTAGGGGTTATTTTTTGGGGGGAGGGGGTGACTAAGGGTTTGTGGATCCCTAGTCACCTGGGGGAGGGGGGGTTAATTTTTTATTTAGGGCCCCCACCCGCCACTCAGTGGTGGGGGCCAGAGGGAAGGAAAATAGCCCCCCCCTTATTGGTATTTAGGGCCACTCAGGGGTGGGCGCCAGCGGAGAGGACATTATTCTAATTTAGGGCCCACACCCACCACTCAGGGGTGGGGGCTAGGGGGAAGACATTAGGTCACCCCAATTTTTATTTAGGGCCCTCACCGGGTGGGGGCCAGGGTGGAGGATTTTAGGTCCCCCCCTTTATTCTAATTTAGGGCCTCCACCCATCGCTCAGGGGTGGAGGCCAGGGGGGAGGACATTAGGTTCCCCCCTAATTGCTATTAAGAGCCCCCACCCACCGCTCAGGGGTGGGGGCCATGGTGGGGACATTAGGACCCCCCTATTCTAATTTAAGGCCCCCACCCACCGCTCAGGGGTGGGGGCCGGGGGGACAACAATAGGTTCCCCCCCATTATTTTACTTTAGGGCCCCCACTCAGGGGTGGGGGCCAGGGGGAGGACAATAGGCTGCTCACTGTTTAAAAGACATGCCCCTACTCACGGTATAGCGAGTAGGAGCATAATTTACTAATACTAAGTAATCTTTACTTAGTATTAGTAAATTTGTCTGAAAGACCAATTCAGATCTTTCAGCCTTTTAGTAGATAGCTCTCTAATACCGTGGGAATTAGGGAGTTATCTACTTATTCATTCCTGTCATTTCTTTGACTGGCCAAATAACTTTCATTTTATATGCATGTGTGTTACTTGATTGTTGTAAGTGTTGCAAATGCTTACAGGTGAATCCTGGCTATGTTTGTATACTTTTTATTTTAAATTTTATACAGTGTAACATTATTCTTCTTCCACTGGGTAAGTATATTAGTACTTGGGCAATACATTTTACTTCCTTTTGTAGTGCCCAAAAGTTCGGGTCCACATTGACTTCAATGGGGTTCAGGATCGGGGTCAAGTTCAAGTCCTGAACTCAAACTTTTTGCCGAAGTTTGGCCATCCAGGTGTCCGCTCAACTCTAATCACAACCCCCTCATCTGACTGAACAAGGTCGCCTTTGTTTTCTGCGCTGGAGCCTGGCCCTGCAACCATACAATTTTACTATGCAATACTGACCAGGCAAACAAAACGGCAATGCGGATGGATTATCCAGGCAGACAGAATTGGAACCATAATTTAATCCACTGGACATCGCAAAACCAACACGTCAGGGTCTAGGAAGGTATGCCGCACCATGGAACTGGGGGGGAGCAATGTGACAAAACTATGTACTTTATTCTCCAAGTTACTTTGCCTGTGTTCGGTAGATGGATCTACCGAACACCGACCACCCCCCTGGTTCATTAACTGCAAATAAACCAAAAACATAAGTGCTCTTTCTGTGTGGCAGTCATATTGGTGACTATCTTGTCACATGAAAGCAGGCAGTGGGACTTGGTCGTCAAGTGTCTGGAACTCTA